TCCGCAGAGCCGTGTGGGACACTCATGCGGCCACGGCCACCCTCGTCAGGCAAATTGGGGACAGATCTCTAGTCTGGGGCAGATGGCAGAGTCAGGCCTGGGGTATATTTAGCAGATGAGGCTGACTGCGATCCCGATCTCATCCCTTCGAGATGTTTCTTGGACTCAGATCCTGGAAACTCAGCCCCCCCCCTTTTGTTTTTTTTTTTAGGTTCTGGTTTGTACTTTGTAGCTCAGTCTCTCCATGAGAGGGGGGTTGGTGGTCTCCTCCGTTCGTGTTCCCCCACAGAGCACGGCTGGGCTCTGCCCAACCTCCTGCTGAGGGACCCCCCTGGCCTGGCTTGATGCCCACCAGGCACTAAACCCCATTTTGCCCCATTTTGCCCCATTTTGCCCCATTTTTCCCCGACATGAGCAGCTACGTGGCGCTCATGGTGTTTTTGGGGATTTGGGTCCCCGGGGGAGCAGCCTGGCACCCGGAGCACCGGCAGCATGCGGGCACGTGCCGAGGGCAACCGGTGCAGGCGGAGGAGGGCTGGTGGCCACGTGAGGCAGAGCTGGCATCACCGGCACGGGGCTGGGCTGGGTCGGTGCCACCAGAAGGGACCTGGAAGGGAAAACTCTGGGTGCACCAGGAAGCGCTGGGGTGACTCACGAGGTGTGGTGCGGCGCTGAGTCACGCTGAGCACCCGGATGGGCACCGCTGAGCCACCCCCCCCATGTCCCCGGTACTTTGCGGCATCCCTCCGGACCCCGCTGAGCTGGTGGTCCCACGGAGCCCCACACACCCCGGGTGTCCCCACTGCTGGGACTGGTCCTGTTGGTGCTCCCCGCTCACGAGGAGGTGGCGGATGGGAGGTGGCACAGAGCCGTGGGGTGTCACAGGGGGGCTGTGGGGGGTCATGGGGAAGGGGAGGTGATGGAGAGGAGCAGCTTGGGGGGGGCGGGACAGCCCGCGCCCCCATTTCCAGCACAAACCCACTGTTGCGGGGTGAGGATTTGGCTGCATGGACAGTCCCAAATCTGATTCATTTAGCGGTGAGAAACACGGGGGGTCACCAAGGTGCCCCAAAACATCATCCTCGACTCCCTGAAAATGCTTCTCTCACCTGCTCAGCCCACGCACTGACCCCAGGGAGGGGCTGATATAGTTTGGGGTCCCCTTCCTGGGACACATACAGGTCTTTCCCCCATCCTGGGGGGTGATCTGAGCCCCCCAAGTTAACGCCGCGAGAGGTAGCCCGAGCGGAAAGGCCAAGGAGCAGGAGACGGAGGAGACAGATGCGGTTGTGCAAGAGGGATGCTTGTCCTCGCTGGGCAGTGTCGCAAGGCCACTGTGACCCGAGCCTGTCCCTGCGCAGGGCTGGGGACAAAGGATGGTGACAGTGGGACCGTGGGCTGCAGCCGAACCGCTGGGAGACATCTGCCATCGGTGGCTTTGCAGACAGAGCCGAGGTTTTCCCACCAGCTGCGCGAATCCGGGTTCCGTGAGTCATCGGCGGACGCTCGTGGCGGGGGCAGACGGAGGCGGAGAGCTCGGGGACAACGGGCTGGCGTGGGACATCGTCCCTTACCCACGCGGGGAGATCAAAGACCTTCTCGTGAGCTAAAGGGCAAACCAGCTGCCGTGGTTCGGGGCCAGCATCCCCTGGCTAGGTATGGCCGGCAAATGTGGGGAAAGCAAGAGCTTTCTGCCCAAATCCAGCCACGAACTCACCATCTGTTTGAAATCGGGGAAAAGCTCAGCTAACGCTCGAGCTAACACTTGTCCCCATTTCCTTCGGTGAGAGGGAAAAAGCCAAAGAGAAGAAGAGAAGCCAAAGCCGGGCGAGAGGGAGGAGGCTGGGCTGGAGCACGAGCCACCGTTATCCCAGCCGCTCCCCAGGGAGGTTCTCCTTCCC